CTCTACAATAAATAAATAAATAAGTAAAATTAGCCGGGCATGATGGTGTGTGCCTGTAGTTCCAGCTTCTTTGATGGCTGAGGTGGAAGGATTGCCTGAACCCAGCAGGATGAGGCTGTGGTGGCAGTGAGCATGCCACTCCACTCCTGCCTGGGCAACAAAGTGAGACTCTGACTCAGATTTTTTTTTTAAGAGTCTAGAGTAGGAGAGGAGTGGAGGCAAGAGGAGAGAGTATTCAGTCAGCACATATTTATTGAACACCTACTAAGTGTTAGATGCTGCTCTGGATATAGGGGATGCAGTAATGGAGATTTGTACATGTCAGGGAATAGGTCTCAAAGGAACAAACGGGGTGAGGTAACAAAGTTGTAAGGCAGCCCTGGGAGACTGGGCAGGGGATTGTGCCAGTTTACAGGGATGGCCAGGTAGGGCCTCCTTGATGACACGACACAGGATCAGAGATGTGCAGGGGGAGGGGAGCAAGGGGGGCGTCTCTCGGGGAGAGTGATCCGTACAAAAGGCACAAGGGCAGACTCCAGGGCTGAACATGGAAAGCTGTGTGAATTGGACCAAGTCCTGTCACCATTTGAACCAGTGTTAATATCAGTGCCACCTAATTCAGAAAGAGCTTCTTTGGTGTGAGGATTAGCAAGGACATCAGTGTGGGTAGTGCAGGGTGAGAGAAGGTGAGGGTGGTAGAAGATGAGGTCAGATGTGTGCCAGGGTCACAGCTGCAAAATAAGAGTCAAAGATGAGGGCAGAGAAGGTGTTGAGGCCAGATCACAGAGGTCTAGGAGGCCATCGTGATGAGAACCTTGGATTTTACTCTGTGTAAAGAGGAGACCCCTGGAAGGTCCTGGGCAGAGAAGTGACTTGATCTGACTTAGGTTTTAAAATACTAACCATTGCTGATGCAGAGATATAGTGTGATCAGGAAGCAAGTTAGGAGGCTATGGCAATAGAGCAGGCAAGAGACAACCATGGCTTGGGGGATGCTGAAGGAGACAGAAGTGTTCAGATTCCAGGCTGGGGGTAGTGGCTCATGCCTATAATCCCAGCACTTTGAGAAGCCAAGTTGGGAAGACCGCTTGAGGCAAGGAGTTCAAGACCAGCCTGGGTAGCATGGCAAGATCCCATTTCTAAAAAAAAAAAAAAGAGTATTCTGATTCCACATATGTTTGGAAGATTAAACCAACAGGATTTACTGGCAATTTAGAAGCATATGTGAGAGAAGGAGAGAGAGCAGTGTGATTCCACAGCTATTTAACTGAGTGACTTTAAGAATGGAGATTACTCTTGTCTTGGAGAATGGTCTATGGGGGAATAAGAGCAGAAGCAGGAGCCCATTGAGGAGGCTGTGTCAATAGTTCAGGAGGTCATGGCAGACTGGACTAGGGCAGTGGTAGCTGAGGTGGTGAGACGAAATGCAAGTGGGAATGTATGTTCTGGAGACAGAAAGACAAGACCTGCTGAGAGACCTGATGTGGGTGTGTAAAGACAACAGGTAAGAGAGACTCCTGGGGCTTTGACCTGATGGTGGGTGGATGAAGATGCTGTTAACTGAGATGGGGAAAGTTAGGGAGAAGCTTGCGGGGCAAAGATCCCTTAGAACACACTATCTTTGAGATGCTTCCTATGGACAACTGGAGACACAGTAGACAGGGTGATCTGTGATTCTGGAGCTCAGGGAGAGGACAGGGCCAGAAGAGTGAACTCAGAAGTCTTCAAGCTAGATGTGCCTTTAAAACAGGTGAAAAGTGAGCCAGGCTCGGTGGCTCAGCCTGTAATCCCGTGCCTTTGGGAGGCTGAGGTGAGTGGATCGCCTGAGCCCGCAGGTTCGAGACCCGCCTGGGCAGCGAGACCTCATCTCTACAATAAATCAAAAAATCAGCTGGGTGTGGTAGCGCATGCCTGTAATTCCAGCTACTTGGAAGGCTGAGGCGGAAGGATCGCTGGAGCCCAGCAGGTCGAGGCTGCGGTGGCCGGGAGGGGCCACTGCACTCCAGTCTGGACGACAGAGTGAGACTCCAACTCAAAAACAAAAAAAACAAAACAAAAAAACAGGTGAAAGTGGATAAGGGGGAAAAGCTGGTTAGAGGATCAAGGCCTGAGGCAACTTCCCATATATAAAGGCTGGAGAGTGGAGGAGGAGTTGGGAACCAGTGGGTGTACGCACATGCCTCCATTCACCCACGCTCCTGGAGACTGGCCAGAAAGGAAGAAGGAAGACCCAGAGCTTGTGGTGTTTTAGAAGCACAATTATTTCAAGAAGAGAGTGATTAAGTGGATCAAATGTAGGTTGTTCTAAGAAGATAAGGACAGAGAATGGATCATTCTCCTTGGATACTCTGGCAATAATTTTTAAAATGTTGTCATAATACTCAAATGAAAAATGATCCTACAGTTTCCTACATTTGTAGCTTTCAAAATTCAGAGATGAGCCAGGCACAGAGGCTCACACATGCAATCCCAGCACTTTGGGAGGCTGAGGTAGGAGGGATCCCTTGAGCCCAGGAGTTTGAGACCAGCCTGGGCAACATAGCAAGACCTCATCTCTACAAAAAAATTGAAAAATTAGGCCGGGTTCGGTGACTCAGGTCTGTAATCCCAGCACTTTGGGAGGCCAAGACGAGAGGATTGCCTGAGGCCAGGGGCTCGAGACCAGCCTGGGCAACCTGGTAAGACCTCATCTCTACAATAAATCAAGAAATTAGCTCATCATGGTACTGTAGTTCCAGCTACTTGGAAGGCTGAGGCGGAAGGATAGCCTGACTCCAACAGGTCGAGGCGGCGGTGGCCATGAGCGTGCCATTTCACTCCAGCCTGGACGACAGAGTGAGACTCCAAATTAAAAAAAAAAAACCCCAAAAACAAAACCCCAAAAAACAGGCTGGGCATGGTAGTATGTGCCTGTAGTTCCAGCTACTTGGAAGACTGAGGCAGAAGGATCGCTTGAGCCCAGCAGGTCGACGCTGTGGTGGCCATGAGCGTGCCACTGCACTCCAGCCTGGGCGACAGAGTGAGACTCCAA